CTACTCCTACTCCTACTCCTACTCTCACTCCTACTCCTACTACTACTACGACTACTACTACTGCTGCTGCTGCTGCTACTACTACTACTACTACTATTGCTGTTCTAGAAGCCACAAAAAGAAGTAGAAGAAGTAGTAGTAGTTGTTGTTGTTGGTGGGGGGGAGGGTGGAAAAAAAGAGAAGTGCCTGACGACTAATTCTCGCATGCTTCCTGCAATAACGACAACAATTCTGGAAGAGGTTTTCATTTCTAACTCGTCAAAAAACAAAACACACTTCGATGGAAGTTGCTTTCGTGCACCAAATAAGCGAAACAAGTATGTAAGTGGTTAACCTTTAATACCGGCCCAATAGACAAAGCCATTCTGGCGTATGAGGTCATTGGAAACGCTCCAATACCCGAAACATTTATGTTAGTTAACCCTGCCCCAACATGTGAGACTATTCACAGATAAGGAAAGATGGGAGGCCTCCAGATTTCCACATTTCCACACTTGCAGGACCTAACTATTCACGAATGTGGAAATACGGAGGGGGCCTCCACATGTCCACATTTGCAAGCCCCATGCCTCCAGAAGACTTGGGAAATGTGGGTGAGTTAGGGTTTGCAAATGTGGAAATGTGGAAATGTGGAGGCCCTCCGCGTTTCCACATTTGTGAATAGCTAGGGCCTACAAACATGGAAACACGAAGGGCCTCCACATTTGCTCCCCATGCCTCCAGAAGATTTTGAGAATGTGGGTGAGTTAGGGCTTGCAAATGTAGAAATGTGGAGGCCCTTCGTATTTCCACATTTGTGAATAGCTAGGGCCTGCAAATGCGGAAATGTGGAGGCCTCCCACGTTTTCACATTGGTGAATAATAGCTAGGAGCGTACCTGACAGTCAAAGTTATAAGCAAACGTAGGTTCCAGGAGGGGGGGCACCATATATATATATATATGGATATCGGTATAGATATAGATATAGATATACACACACACAAACATATGTCTCTGATTCTATTTATCTGCATATATAAATATATATACACACATATATATATACAACAAATTTGTTTGTATATATATATGTATATATATATATACTTATTATGTAAATTTGTGTGTGTCTGTGTATTTATACCTCATGTTTCATAGAGAAGTGGCCTCTCCTATCTCTCATGCGGCAAGTACGGCCAAGACAATTGTGCAAAAAAAGGGCGCACTCCAGCCCTGCTGGAGGCCTTAAAGATCCCACAGCAGTTGCAAGTGCTTCTGGCGACGTGTGAGAATTAAAAAGAATCTTCGTCCTGGAGACCGCGACGGGGAAGGCCGAGCATTCTGTTCATGAGCCAGCAAGGTGGCACATGACCTTCGTCAACATAGACTGATGTATAGTTATCCTTCCGACAAGTTGGATCGCTTCGAATCTTCCTCCAATCGCACCCTGAATCACTGCACCCTGCATTCGGCCGACGTCAAACGTTCCAGTTGCAGTTTTGGCTTTTCTCGGTTACCCGCCCCGGGGAACTGCTTGACAACAGACCTTTCGCAGGTACATAAAACAAAGGACCGCCAACTCAGGCCCGCCCGAGGAGTCAGACACCTCCAGCTGCAATGCATACTCAAGCGTCGCTGGCTTCCATCAGCAAGCTGCAAGACTTGTGAGCATCCAAACTCTGACCGATCCGAGCACAAACGGATTGCCCCGTGAAAGCTGTGACATCAGGCGGTAGTGGGAAGCAACCCACTTCGTCTCTGCTGCCTCATCCGAACAGTCGAAAACGTCTGGCTCGAGATGTCCGCGCCCTGTCGCCGAAAAAGATCGCAACACATCGGACATCGGGGAAGCTATCGATAGGAAACCGCCCTGCACAGTGGCCCTGCCAGGAAAAACTGGCACTCTTAATCGCAACCTCTTCGAAACCGTGAACTTTGCGGCCATCAACCCTGAACCTGAAAAAACTCCTCTTCTTCTTCAACACAGACGAAGCTAAATGCAAAACCCTACACCAATGTGAAAGAGCTCTAAACTCCAAACGCCAAATCCAAAAGCGTCTTGCTGGGGTGTTCACGTGCGTGCCACACATGTTATCATTAGACAACATGATTTGTTGACGGGCAGGCGCACCGTTTCTCCGTGTCTGGGCCTATGGCATATGGCATAGGTTTGCCAACCCAAACTTCCAAAGTGCGTTGAGCTACGTTTTGGGCGCATCGCGACGTTTGTGGGCAAGGGTTACTCGAGCACAAGATCGAAGACAAGAAAGCCTCAAAATCCAATTAAACCGATAGACGCATCACAACATAAGCATCGGTCACAAATGGATATCATGGATCCCCTGGTAAATGGATGTCATGGGAACATGGCCGTGATCGTCGTTGGGGCATGGATCCCTTGGTAAACGACGGAAAAATGGACGTAATCATCCCAGGTTCATCGTTTGGGCATTGATGCTCTGCTAAATGGACCCGATGGGAACATGGCCGCAATCATGATGGGTACATGCACGTGCGCATGGCAATGTTTTCGACTTGCTAACCACGCGAAATGCTGCAAGCATCGATGTCGCGACAAGTCTGTGGATGTTGGAAAATCAAAACCAGCGACAACACTTCAAGATGTTTCCACATGCGATCCACACGAGACACGGTAAATACCAATGTCGCGTGCGTGGCCTTTTCCGGACTCTCTGCCGAGGCGCGGTGCTTGTGCAGCACTGTCGGTTGCCTGCGACGGTCCGGGGGAGATGCCATGGAAGTCCTCCACGGGCTTCACCTCAAGCTTCCAACGTCTTGTGGGAGATTGAGACGTGCTTTAAGGTGTATAGGGCCTGTATGTATGTATGTATGTATGTATGTATGTATGCACGCATGCATGCATGGATGCATGCATGGATGCATGCATGCATGGATGGATGGATGGATGGATGTGTGTGTGTATGCGTGCATGCGCATTTTATACATATATATATATGTATGTATATGTATATATATATACATATATATATATACATATACATATGTAGATAGATAGATTATAGGTAAACAGATAGATAGATAGATAGATAGATAGATGGATGGATGTGCGTTGCGCGTTCTGCGCCCCCCGCCCTCCCTCCCCACCCCCTCCCAATATCCCCAAGAAAACCACTGGTCTGGTCCGGAGACTTGGGCGCCTGTGAGAAGGACCCCTGTTTCAGAGAGAGACGGGGAGGGGGAGGCTGACTAAACTCCGAAGCTCAAGCCCCCAGCTCTTCCCCAGGAGTGAGGGGGATGATCACAGGAACAACCATTGAAAGAAGGCCCAAACCAAACCGGGGCCTTGCCTTGAAGCTTCAAGACCACTGTGCAACTCGGATCCAGCCCCGAGCGCCAGAAAAAAGAAAGGAGAGAGCACGATCATTGGATATCCAGCTTCGGAGATTGTGGGCTTGTAGGTTCCAGCTCGTCGAGTATGGAACACACTTCAAACTCAGGGCTCTGACTGGTCACGTGGCAGACAGCTGTTTCCGGCATGCAAATGGCCTTTGCCGAAGATGTGAAGAGCCGCGCTGGCAGCCCCATCACCGCTTTCCAGATGGACTGCGCATTTGCAGGCTTGCGAGCTGCAAGTTTGTTACCTTCATCTCCCAGTCTTGGAGTGCTTTATCGACTTCGAGACACACACCTATGTGACACTTCCGGGAAAGGGCCGGCGATGGAATCAGAGGTCAGGATGCACCAGCTTGGCAAGCAATAGCTTTACTATGAGATCAGGAGCCTGTTGAAGATAAAATGGTCCAGGCAACAAGGGAGGTGTCCCGAACCCGTCGCTTTGAACTCAGACTCCCCCGCTGAGCCTTGGAAGCAGGAGCCTCGGGCCCGCTTTGGCCGCCCATGCTCGGGGTCTGGCAAGGCCAGGGCGCTCTATGCCGCACCGGGTTTCTTGGGCTAGTTCGGCTTCAGGCGGACATGATCCGAACAACGCTCCTCAACTGCAAACACCGCCGAGCGCCTTCCGAGTTTGGAATGAAACTCGTCGCGGACAGTCCATAGGTACTGGCACCTGGTGCACCACTGAAAGGGCCAAAGCTGGGAGCTGCCGGAGGCTTTCAGATGGCACTGCGACACTTCCTCCTGCGAGCAACTTCCTTTGCAAGTCTTCGATAAGACTCACTGGGTATCAAGAAATCGAAACTATTCCCTCGAAAAAACGTTGGGAAATTTGCGTCGGGAACTGCACAGACAGAGCCTGTTCCGGCGTCTGCTTCAGTCGAGGCAAACTCGGCAGGTTGTTCTCCTGCACCGGGTCGCTGGAGACACAGGCTCAGAGGCTCCCTGATGCTCCCTCCCTGCCTTCGTGTCCTGTGCAGGGCCGAAAGACTCGGATCTTAGGAAAGAACTCGAGGAAGGCGGCATGGAGGCATTCGGCACGAAGCCTTCAGAAACACTTTCGGCTCCTCCCACTCTGAGCTCTTACCCGTCCCTTTGCCCTCGATTCGAGGTTCCGACTCTCGGAGTTGTTAGCATTTGTCCTGCAGCCCAGCGCAGAGAAGCTTTGGAAACGTCTACCTCGCTTCGGATGGCTTGGTGCTGTGAAGTCGGCTTCGTCCTGTGAGTCTGGGTGCTGGCGTTCATGGAGCCAGATGCGGAGAGCTGCGGTGCACCTGCTCAGATTCAGATTAGCCGCCGTGCAGGTAGAGCTATCGCAAAGGCTTTGTAACGCTCTGCCCAAGTAAAGTGAACTGCGTTGCAGTTTGCACCACTTAATCCCAGGCAATCCGCTCATCCCTGTTCAGTTGCCTTTTGGGCGAGCTTCCAACGCCGCAGTCGTCTTTGAAGCCAAAGCTGCCATGGACGCCTCGAGTGACAAGTCACTTTCAGCGAATCCGGGTTTGTTATTCTTACCAGCTTTCTTTGCAAGGAAGACAGGCTGTCAGGCACTGTTGAAGACTCAGCACTGCACACCAAAGCACATGTTAGACCATGCAGAACCTCGTGCTGGAACGTATATACATAAGCCTTCAGACTACCACGCTGTCGCGTTCCACAAATCCCATATTCAACACCTCTTGACATGCATACCGCACACGAAAAATCCATACGCGCACATGTATGTATGTCTGTTTATACATGGGGGGTGCATACCGCGCAGGCACATATAGCTAGTATAAAAACAACACTAGGGACAACGATATAGTATGATATGATATACAAACAGAACGTGATATAGTATAGCATGATATAGACATGCTGTATTATGTGCTCTGAGATGAGATGAGATGATGTGAGCTGATCTACTGATATGATACAATATACTATGGCACGATATGGTATGGTATGATATGATTTAACAACGATACGACACGGTATGGTACGCTATCATACGATATGGCCTGATACGACCCCAAAGAACAGAATCAACATAGGAATAGAACAGAATAAAACTTACTATAGCATGTGGCAATGCTTATAGTACGCATTGTCAAGTATAAACTGGTATGATACGACATGAACCAGAGGAAGAATGCACACACATATGTTCGATAGTATTCGGTTTATGTAGTACATGTTTCATCCTATATACTACATGATATGCTCTACATGCACCATAGTACCTGGTACATCTTCTGCCGTATGTCTTAAACCTCATGATTTATCTCTTACATCGCTTTTGACATATGTTGTATGAGTCGCAAACTGCATGTATACCACACACATTATGAGGATTATATGATACACATGTGCATTCCATATTGCATGGTAAAAATTCTTGCATGTTGTATATTACTGTATGCAGTATACAGTGTACATTATGCATCATACACTGTGTGTTATCCACTTTCCATGTGCATATGTATTCATAGTACGACATGCCTTAATCTTTATAGTATACCTTGTCTGTTAGATGTTGCAGGTTCTTGACTGCATGATTCAATCTAAACGCTATGAACAAACTACATATTGTCGAGTAGACTCGATATATACATATAGGCGTATAAATAAGCATAATCCATGCAATATGGTGCAAACTGCATGTGATCTACTACGCATTATACGTCTAACATACATGTTACATGTCGGCCACATGTTATATGACCTGTGTTAGCTACTTAGATTGTACTGTCTTGCATTCTAGTATCATGATGTATTTCAATTTTCAATATATTGATATTCTGCTCCGTTGTACCATATCTTATGTTCTATAATTATGATGCTACATTCTACCATGATATGTTCTACTCGTTCATGCTCTGTTCTATGCCAGTATATCCTGTTCCATTACACTACGTTGCACTGTAACTACTGAGTTTTGACAGGTACTATGTTCACAATAGCATATTCTGTTGTATTATATAGTATTACAATTTCACATTCCATGTTGTACCATACCAGAGGACACTGCATCACGTGATGTATGTATATACACACTATATATACCATATATGCTAGCCCCACCCCCCTGGACCAACCTTTCACATGAAATCCTATAAACTCCAAAAATCCAAAACTCACGATATTAGTCTTTAGAACTCTAAACAATTCCAAAAATTCCAAAAGAATAATCCTTGTCCCAAAATGCTAGAATTCCAAAACTGAATTCTGTCGATTTTGGAATTCTTGTAATCTTTGGAATCTTTGGAGCTTTTAGATTTGTTGGTTTATTCGAATTGTTGGAACTTCAAGAATTCTAGACATTAGCATCGTTGGATCTGGAATTGTGAGACTTTCTGGAATTCTAAAACACAGTGTCATAGGTTTTGGATTATTGAATATTAAGATTTCATGTGAAAGGTTGGTCCATGTGAATCCTACGTAAGATCGTAATGAGGATTACATGTGCACACATTATTTTCTGTATGTAGCTCTTAAATTACTCATGCACCAATGATTACTAATAACTTTTCCTAAGGCTACTACTAGAATTAATATTAATCCTATGAATAAAACTATTGAAATTCAACTAAATATACATCTTAATACTAGTATCACAAATAAAACCAATTCCTATACTAATATTGATCTTTATATGAACACGAATACTCTCACGAATATGAATACGCATAGTTACACTGATAGTAAAACTAATCCCGAATACTAATAATCATAGGCTTATTAATACCATTAATCATACTCATACGGATATTCATACTAATGCTTATATCAATGCGCATACATATAGTAAGGTATGTATTACTCCTATGAATATTAATATTGATATTGCTATTATGCATAATACTAATGCATTGGTATTCGTATTCGTCTTCAAATTCTTTAGTATGTATATTAGTATTAGTATCATCGTAATGATATGCATTTTTTCAAGTTGATAATATTCCTACGAATAAGCATAGTCATATTCATATTAATATTTTTCTAAATACTAGTGCTAAGATCAAGTACCAAGACTGAGACTAATTGTGATTTTAATATGAATACGAATACAGCGACGACACAAGACTCTTAGTGTTGTTAATACTATGAATACTAGTGTTCCTACGAATACTAATAATCATATTCATATTACTAGCAAAATTAATGCCAAGATACATACAGATGCTAACACTAGTACCAATACTACTGTTTATACCAACATTGATATTGCTACATGTATTAATACTCATACTTTTGTTAATTATTCTCCATACTTATGTCACATAGTATTCTGTACTAGAATTAATGCTAACATTAACACGAATACTGAGAATAATGAGGCTAATACGATAATCATGTTCATATTAAAATTCTAGTAGTGTGTATATATATATATACACATCTACTAATGCAAACAAATATACATACTACAAAAGATGAGATACCGAAACATGCACGAAACAATGTAGGAAAGAACCAGTATTTTCATAGACCAAGTACCAATACACCACTATACTAACTATGTCAATATACAAATATACTAATATGCTACAAGTCTAATATGCTAATATACGACTGTACTAATATACATACATTACTACTAACACAAAGACTAAGACTAACACGAATACTAACACTAACACTACGTTATTACATGCTATTACTACTAGTCTATAGACTTTTATAATTATACGGACTAATACTTATACGAACCAATATCTGACATTGACTTTTACATTGGCAGCAACACCAACACGAACATTGTCTTCGTCTCGACGAATGGCGAGCATGTAGACTGCTGAATAGAAGTCTCTAAGAGGTTATCTACTCGCGATCGTTCCATGTGTATCTCCTTGTGTTAAAGGGAAAGAGCCTGAGCTTATGCATCTGTGCAGCCTTCATTTGCATGAGCACAGCTTCATATGCAGCAGTGTGGGCTCTGAGTGTATTGCCTTAGAAAAAAACATGTTCAAAATACCGCAAGACGGTGAAAGAGAACAGGAAGGATACCTTACACCACAGGAAAATGGAATCACGAAATTGTAACATGCTTTTTGAGACTGTGGTATGACTCATATAAGCTTAAGACCATAACAACGAACACAGAACCTATTGATATTTACTGGATTTTCGATATCGGTTCGCGCCAACACAGGTACAGACGTGATCAGTTTCATGGCGGAGGTTGGTCCAGGGGGGTTACTATAACTATATATATATATGTATATACACACACATTAGCATGATGGCAGAATACATTGCAGTATGTGTATGTTGTGTATATGCGAATGTGCATACATGCCAAAACAACAGCACGCATGCATGTGAAAGCATATGCGCGCATGCACATACACACACACACACACTCACACACACACACACACCGGCACGGAACCGTTTAACATCCCCTGATGGCCTTGGCAACGTCGCCATTGCGAACCTGCGAAGGCTGCTGCGCTTTCGATCACCACTCTGGGCACTTGGAAACGGAGCCCACACCGGCTAAGCATCGAAAGACGGAACATCGATCAGCTATGTCAGCCAGAAGGCTTCCCTCCAGTAGTCAGTAGATCGTGCCTGTTTCGGCGAGAGAACCCACGCTGAGGAGAAGGCAGCGCCTATGGTCATCTGCACGAAGGGAAACATGCAGTGGACACTAAGCCGCTAAGCTTCCAATGCCCGTCGATTTAAAAGCTGGCACAATGCTTCGGAGATCAGCAAAGCTCTGACGACCCTCTGAGAAAAGCCTATGTGAGCCCTGAATACCCTGAATCTTCTCATATCGATTGCAGCCAGCGGGGCGTGCAGCGGGCCGCTGCCCAGGACTCTTTGCCAGGAGCGACTCAGGGGGAGCTTTTTGATTTTGTGGAGGGCAAGTAAGGTAGAGAGCTCAAGTCGAGGTTGTTCTTTCCCGCAAGTAAAACCGCTGTGGCCTGCAACAAGTGCAGAACGCCCGTGGACAGAGCGCCGAATGGCTCCGTGGCGTAAGAGATCTTGCAGCCTGTGCATCTCGCAGAGGGCAGTGCAGGGTGCTGGGGCCAGTATGAGTGCAGCAGCGCCACGGCCGGTTCGCCGCAACACCTGCAAAGAAGAGATGACATGCAGAATGCAAAGTGTTTGTCATTCGTTGCTCAGTTCCCCAAAGCGCTTCGTCTCAGACCCAGGTTCCATTCCCTTAACCGACTGAGCAGAGTACAGAGGAGAGGCGCCTGAGTCAAGGATGATCCGCGGAAAACCATCTGTCCGTCGATGGCAAAATACATGACAGCACCAACACCGAAGACATCGACCT